CCACCACACGCATCTGAAATGTGGCTATTGTGGCAGAAGAACTAAATGTTACATTTATTTCTATTTAATTGAAGTTTAAAAAGTCACATGTGGTAAGTGGCTGTATATTGGACAGGGCAGCTATAAGGAAAATTAAAAAGGAAGTAGAGGCTGATGTTCTTGGCCTGGGCCGGCCTTGGGTCTACAGTTAGGGAGAGCCATTCCTCTGCTACAGGTGTATTCTCAGACACTTGCAGCTTGGGGAGGAAGGGAAGACTATAGGGCCCAGTAAACCGCACATCTGCTTTACGATCAGCAAGACCACTTCGGGTCCAAAGGAGAGAGGAGAGGAGGACCGGCTGAGCACTTTCAGATACAAGTCATGAGAGAAGCCTGCCATCTGACAAGAAAGAAAAAGACAATGTCTCTATGATCCATTTGGCCTTCCTAAATGTCTTGGGTTTTTGGACAGAAAGTGGGAACTAGTCTAGTTAGATAAGAGAGCTGGCTCCCTGCCGCCAATCAATCAGAAAGCTTTTAAGATGGAAGTCGATGAAAAATGTATTAAATACACACACACAAAATAAATCAAATGCAGCGAAGTTTTCAGCTTAGAAGCACTCCTGAGGGCCAGAGTCCAGGTTCTCACAACATAAAACCTTCATTAAGACCTCATTCCATGTTGGACTCAAATCCACCTTTCCTAAGGGATCAATGAGGTCCATCAAGGTATTTCCACTTTTTTGGTGTGGCAGATGGGGAGGGATCTGAAATGTAGTACTTTTCTACCCTCCCCCAGACCTGATTTACTCTCTGAAAGAGAGGCAAGGGACACACTCGTTAGTGTCATTGTGTTTCGTACAGTCACTGGCCTTTAAATGGCCACATTAAAAACTCTTTCCAGGGCCCCGTAGAGCTAGGCGATTATGTTTAATATAACCTTCTGGGTTTTGGTTTCATGCAGACCAACAAAGAATATGGAAACATGTAACTCCATACTGCCCCAAGTACTTCTACAGCTTGAGTCTCAATTAAAATGTTTGTTTACTTATCTGTTAATCTCATTATTTTTTTTTTCTAAATCTGCTCTCAGTGAGCGAGAGTTCAGAATCTGAAGTTCAGCCATTTCTGAAATATGACCAAAATGGAAATGTGGAGAGAGAGTGCTATTCACCTGGGGAGAGAAATACGTAAACTCCCACGTGAATGACTTGGAGTGTCCTTTAACTTTCGCTAACAGAAAACCATTTTCTATGGAGAAAGTATGTGCACAAAGGAGTAACTTCTTAGAAATTTAGCAGTGATTTTATCGTGGTAAATTGAGCCACGTCCCAATGAGAATACTTGCTATTATTGCTAGAAATGCATAGAGCCTGTATTTATTTTCAGAGGGGTTCAGTATCATTTTTATTAGTTGCTCTTCACAAAAAGCAAAACAGAAACCACCCTAAACCTCTGAGAGGTAGATCAGATTTTATCTCTCTCTCTCTCTGTTTTTCCTTCCAAACGAGGATACCACACAAAGTGTTTTGCCCTGGGGTCAGCTAGCCCATCGGTGGCTGGACTGGGGTTAGACGCTCTGGTCTCTAGACTCCCAAATGCTGATCGTCCCTGGGGCTTATCCTTCCGTCCCCCTTGGGGACATGCTTCAGGGCGCTGTGCACTGGTAACTATGCCAACAGACATGTCCTCCTCCCTAAATGCTCCCCATTTCACCATCCCGAGTCCCCGAAGACTCCCAACTGCCTCACCAGGGAGACCTTCTCAGGTGATTCTTTTGCTTCCTTTGTAACTAACACCACCTGGATGGAGTCCAAGATCCTTCTTGTTCTGAATTCTCTTCTATAGCAAATAAGTCATATTATTAGTTTTCCTATGATCTGGCCATAACCGCTAGGCTGTCTTTCCCTGAGGAAGAATGTTATTCTGACAGAGCATAGCTTTCCCCAGGTGTGGCCGAGGGCTGGGGAGAGCATCTCCCGGGCTGGGCACAGGATTGCCAAGCAGGGCAAGGTCATCCCTGTCCTCGGGAAGGCTAGAGAAGGGTCACTGTCGAGGGGAGCCCACTTCTGCCTGCAGGCCGTACTCAGGGAGGGTAAATGCATCGTCCCAAGGCTCCCTTCAGCAGCAGACCCCGAGGAGGAGATCCTGGCTTCCAGAAGAGGGCAAAGCAAGATTAAGAAAACAAAACACACAAGTAAACTGAACAGGTCAGCGAAACAAGAGCCTCAGCTCTGCACCCACGTTTCCAAGTTAGCATATCATCCACATTTCCCGGTTGGCCACTGCAGCGTTTCCCAAAGCATGCGCTTCGGAACACCGGCTCCAGGAGGCGCTTTGCAGAAATGGAGTCTCACCGTCGGATAGGCTGCTTGAAAGCAAGGTGTGATCCCCTCCGCCTGTCAGCTCCTGCCCAGCTGAAGTCTCCAGTGACTCCCGGGAACCCTCGCCCCTGAAGCCCAGCCCTGGGCCCCAGGACCCGCTTCTCCCCTCGCTGCAGAAGAGGGACCATGTGGCTGAAGACCTGGCCGTCCCTCCTGCAGGCCACAGGCTCTTGGCGCAGCAGCCCAAGGCCTTGGCTTCTGTCTATGTGCTGTGTTGATCCACTTAGAAAATGCTTACCGGCTGATACCAAAAAGGGATGTCCCAACGGAAAATGATCATCATTTCTGGGTTCCTCGGGACCTCCCAACCGCCAGCCATGCCCTGGGGGAAGTGGAGAGACTCTGTTGTTCCTTGGCCAGGGGTCTCTCTAAGCAGATGCCGTGTTCCTGCTGCTGTGGGCTTAGGTTTACCCCCATTCGGAGAAGTAGCTGATTCTTCTGACCCGCACCATTGGAATCCCAAGGATCCAAAGGAGCATTCCGGAACCAGGTTTTAGTGAAAGCAAAAACGTGTTCTGGTTTCTTGTTCTCAGCTTTTCACTCTTGCTCAACAGAACCATGTCCTTTCTCCCTTCTCTCGCCTACCGATCACGAACCAAGGCCTTTTTGGAATGATTTCCTCCAGGCCTCTCCAGCAATTTTCAACTGCTCCCTTCACCTCCTTCCTAAAATATTCACATGTGCCTGCACCCATGCACCCCCATGCACACACGCATGCACGCACACACTTACATACACACCTACACACGCATGCACACACACACCCACCTCCATACACACCTACACATGCATATACCCATGCATGCACGCACACACTTACATACACATACACGTGCATACACACATGCATGCATGCACACAGCTACATACACACCTGCACATGCATGAATGCACACACCTACACACATACAAGTGCGTATACACATGCATGCACACACACACCTACACACACATACATGTGTATACACACACGCACACACCTACATACACACCTACACGTACATATACACGTGCACACACACCTACACACATACACGTGCATGCACGCACACACCTACACACATGTGCACGCACGCACACCTACATACAAATACACATGCATATGCACATGCATGCACGCACAACCTACACACACACCTACACATGCATACACACATGCATGCACATACCCACCTACATACACACCTACACGTACATATACACATGCATGCACACACCCACCCACATACACACGAACACACACGCACGCCCACACCCACACAGTACACGTGTACATACATGCATGCGCACACCTACATACATAATACATGCATATGCACACACACCCATATACATATACATGCCCACCCCCATATACTTACGCGTGCACACACATGCACATACATACACACAAACACACATGTACACACCAAATCCCCATTTCAGTCTGTGACACCATCTTCCAACCTTTATCCTAGGGGCGGACAACTCTGCACGGTATAAACTGGAAGGCCAACCAAAAGAAGGTAGGAATTTCCTTATCTATCTGTCAGCGCCTCTTCATTACAGCTGAGTTCATTTGAAACGCGGAGACTCCTTGCCCCACCGCCATACCCTAGGAGGGTCTTTTTACACAGCGGATGTTCGCCTCCTTGCCCACGGCGAGGGGACAAGAAGCCGTGGCTTCCCAGGTGGACACCGGTGGGAAGGCGCCTGTTACGCCCTGAGAACGGCAGGAGCGGCCGTGAGAAGGGAGAAGCAGTGGAGGCGTGATGCCCCAAGGGGGCCCGGGACGGCCGGAAACCGAAAGAGGCGCCGTCATGATGCGGGGACCTGAGAACAAGGGAGGAGAGTCTGTTCTTCGTGACCAGTCCCAGGCGGAAGCGTAGTTTCCAGGAATCCTTTGGTGCGTTACCAGCGGACTCTACCATCATCAACACACTTCTCTCTGGACCTTTCCCCCTCTTTAAATCTTGGAGTCAGGCACGGCGGATAGGACCTGCTGACGCTCGCTGTCTCTGTCACAGACAACAGTTTCACATTAGTGGTGAGCAACTGGTGCTCACACAGGAGGGGGCGAGATGGCCAGACGAGAATGATCGATCGTGGGGGCTGGGGATTACGTATGCAGAGCCGAGCCGGGGAGGTCGGACTGGGGGCCGCCGTCCTTGACCACATCTGTTTAAGCTCAGCAACAGTAAAACATCAGCCCGGCAAGCCTGCGCGCCAAGGGGGCTCCAGGCCCAGCCCAGAACAGGAACGAGGGGTGATTTGTGTGGATCTGGGCGCAGTGGGAGGGCAATATCGAGCTCACGCACGCATACACCGCCCGGGGACTGGCTGCAAAGCCTGTGTGGTCCTCTCCGCCATTATTCCAGGGGGCACCTCAACATCCTTGAACGTGACCTCAGGATCCTTAAAGCCCGAGTCGTTAGGGTCCTGGAGCTTCGTCTAGCCCCGTCCCCTGATATCTGAGGGAGCAGAGGTGACGGCCCGGACTGCCCCGTTGCGCTGGGGTCTGGGCCTCAGAGCCCAGCCCAGGCGAGCGGGACCCGGGGACGCGCAGCGTCGGAGCCGGTCGTGCCCCTCCGGGCCGGCAGGGGGCGGTGCCGCGTGCTGTGCAGGGCGGGCTTGCAGGAGGCGCGCACCCCCAGCCCACGCACTCCGCAGGGCTGCGCCCCGCTGGCCGGCTGCTGGCCCTCCTGCTCTCAGGCTTGGGGCCGCTTTGCTCCCGGGACCACAGACCCAGGTAGAGCGAGCCCAGGACCAGGGGCGGCACCGGTGCGACCGCTCGGTCGGCCGTGCTCGGCCGCTTTCTCCCTTTCTCCGTCATTCGCGCATTGCTTGCCCCTCTTACTCTTTCTCTTTTTCCTTGAGCCTTAGGTCCTAACAGTGGGCACCCAGCTTTGGCCCGCCCTTCCTTGGACTTGAACCTGCCCCGGAGGGTCCTGCTGCGGCCTTCGGATCTATACAGTGTCTCCGTGAGTCTATACCCAGAGGCTCCCGTGGCGCCGGGGATTGCAAGGCTGAACCCGTTTATAATCAGGTACAGACACGTGTTTTCTTCTTCTTTTTAAAAAAATGTTCACTTACTGATTTTTGAGAGAGAGAGAAAAAGCTTGCACAAGCAGGGGAGGGGCAGAGAGAGAGGGAGAGAGAGAATCCCAAGCAGGCCCCCCGCTCTGAGCGCAGGGCCCAGTGCAGACTCGAACTCAGGAATGGGGAGACCATGACCTGAGCCCAAATCAAGAGTCGGAGGCTTAACCCACTGAGCCCCCCAGGTGTCCTACAGACACTCGTTTTCTGTCTTCACTGCTTCTGTGAAGCCCTCTACTTGCCGGCCAGAGGACCAAGGTGGAGATGAGCCCATTAAGCAGGAGGGAGTGTGCAGATGGTGTGGAGCGAGGGTGCAGGTAAGGCTCCTCTGAGGGGAAGGCTAATCGAGCCTCTGTGGGGACGGCTTCATGGCAGGGTGAGGACCTTACTGGCGAGTTGGTGGGTATAGGCTTGGGGACACAGCTGTCACAGAATACTCCTTGAGGGAGCAGAGGGCTGCGCAAATGCCCTCAACAGGCCCGGCACTGAATTCTTGGTTTGCCACGTGGTGGAGTCTTCCCAGCCGAACCTGCGCTGGGACCTTTGGATGCCTGTCCCTGGCCAGCGGTGCACTGCGGCCCCTGGCGTGTCTTCAGCCATGAAAGGAAGCCAGAGGCCAGGGGCCAGGAAAGGAAATGTGTAAGAGGAAAATCGTACACCACCCTACACACACACATACACACACGAGACCAACTTCAGAACTAAAAATAGGAGACGTACAGGAGATGGGGGGGCGGGGGGGACAGCCATAAAGGAAATTCGTTTTTGACCATATGGGTAGGGAAGGGCTCATCTCCTTCCTCCGTTGGCACCGTGGTTGACGGTGCGAGCTGAGCCCGGCCCTCCCGTCTGGGCTGTCCGTTAAACCGCCACCAGGCCAGGCGCCCCACCGCGGGGCTGCGATCAACTCCCACTCCGAGCCGGGACAGGCTGGGGCGGCCCCTGCCACGTGCTGGCTGCTTGCTCCAAAGGCACGCATTGCAGCCCCCTCCACTGTCTCCTTCACCATCCAGGCCACGGCCTCCACTCTCCCCGGGGAGCCCACAGCACAGGCTGTGAACTGGAGGCCCACTGAGTGGAGCTGAGGGGCGCCAACAGCTGCCCCAGGGCACACCCCAGCATTAGAGCGTCATTCAGGCCTTGGCTTCCCCCTGAGAACCAAAGCTGAGTTAATAAGTCAACTATTTACAGGCCGCCTCGTACCCTTGAAAGATAAGGGGTGCCCTGAACCTGGAGATAAACACCGTCCAAGGTCAGAAGTCTCTGTGGGCGATGGCTTTGAAAGGTGCCGTTTCCTACAGCCAGGGCCGCCTTAGCTTTTCCAAGTCCTCCCGGAAGAGGCAGAGACAAGCCCCCCGCACCCCCTGGGTGTCCTGGGGCCGTGGGTTGCACACTCAGATCCCTCGTCACTCAGGCTGGTCCTGAGTCCTGGATGCTGCCGCCCAGGTCTGGTGCCTTCTGCAGCCCTGCTTGAGGCCACGGCTCTCCCATCCATCACTCTCCCTCGCTCCCCAGGAGCAATGGAAACGTGGCATTTGCCATCATGCACTTAAAAATTCAAATGATTCCAGCCATCAGTTTAAAAATTCCAAAGGGTCCTGATTTTCTAATAACGATTCCTTTAGCAATTATGCCGCTACTTCTCCTCCTCTTCCTTTTTCTCTCATCCAAGTGTTGCCGTCTTTCGAAACATTTATTTCATGTGGCGTCGCTGCTTGTCTGGTGGCCAGAGCCTGGGCTCAGTAATGCTCTTTGGTGCTAGCTCTGTCCTCGCTCTTAACAAACAGCTTCCGGCCGTAGCTGTGTGCCTCTGCCACGAGCACCCACCCCGCTCACTGTGTCGAATTCACCAATTCCGGTGATGCCAGTGATCTTTAAGTTACAGGTCTGGGTACCGCTGGTCTGTGTAGAATGAGCTCGGACCAAGACTCAGTACCAGTCCAAGCTCTGTCTCTAAGAGGCTCTGTCTCCTCGGTCAAAACACTGACCCTCCTGGGACTCCGTTTCCTCGGCGGTAAAATGAGGACGTTCCCTCCTCTGCAGAGTGATTAAAAGTTCAGTGAGGTTCCTTCCAACTACGATAGTCTCCACCTTTGCCGTCAGCTTGATTCCGGCCCATGTCCAGACAGCGTGTCAGCCACTCACGGTGGCATCTGTCGCCAGCCTCTTGCTTAGTTTTATCTGGAAAGCTCTAAAAGTCAAGATAGTGAGAGGAGGCTGAAAAGCGATTCACCCTCCAAATCAGGGATTTGGATCAAGCTGGAGGTGGGGGGGTGGGGGGGTGGGGGGGTGAGAACTCAGTGCCCAGACTTGACGTGTTAGCTGCTGGATGAATTATTTTCACTTCTGTGAAAAGGCCTCTGCTATCTCTTCACCAAGAAGCCTGCCACATCTTAAAACCACCAGTGTCACGAGCTGTCTTCTGGAAGGTAGAAATGGGCAGGATGTGGTTTGAACTGACAAAAAGATGAAGCAGCCCATTCCTCATCAGGGAGTTGGAAGTGATTGCATGATATGAGAAGGGGAGACTGGGTCTTTCTGACGGGGTCGGGGGGCTGGCTGGCCAGTCAAGTCCGGATCAGCCAAGCCAGTTCCTTGCTCCCAAGATGGTACACAATAACAAAATGCACACTCATACACACAACTGCCACCAAAAAGCAAAACCAAATGGACCAACGATATTTCTTGTGTTCAGTAGTAAACCACTGTATCTGTCTGGCAAGATTCACACTGCAGAAAACATTCCCATATGCTGCAGGCTTGCGATCACCTTCAGAGAAATGCAGAGCCGTGATGGCGTTCCCAGTTTCCAGACAGGAACGTCGAAAGGGGTATGGTTATGAAGATGCAAGATACAAAGCAGGCCCGGGAATCCCCAGTTCCTGCAGTCTGGATTCAGATTTCATGTCTGACTTCATGTGAACAGAGCCCCATTTCAGAGGAGGAAGCAAGTCCCCGAGGCAGAAGCCTTCCGTGTCATCAGAGCACGGGCCGCTTTCCACTGCCTTGGCCTGAGGGCTATAGCACCACCTTACCGTGTTCTCCTGTGCCTGTCACCTTATTCAAGAAGACCCTCAGTAAATGTCTGCTGACTCAACAGTGAATGGACCCTAAGTGATGAAAACAGCCAGAGGCTGCTAATCTCCAAAGACTGGGGTACGGAATTCTGCACACTACCATGGGATCTTGTGGGGAGAGGTTTCGGCCCCGCCCTCCTAAGCCAGTTAAATACACGAAAAGCTGCTTTCTTTGCTTTCCTGGAAAGGAGAAGCGTGGCTTCGAAGCATCCGGAGTTTAACGAGTGTCTAGAAGTGAGTGGTGGACCACTCTTCTCAGAATCTGAAATCCACCTGGCTTCGTCACTTCGTGTCCCACGTGAGATCACCTGCTTCCCCAAGTCCCACCTTCAGGGACCGTCCTCCGAGTTTGTTGACACTTGTCTTTGTTGAGAGGAAGTGTTCTGAAGAAGGTCATGTTCCACCACCATTGTTGATTGGCTGGCTTAGCCATATTTCAGGCCGTTGCCCTGCCAGATGGTTTTGAGGAGAGTGTCCTGATGTCTCTGGGCTTGGTTCCTCATCTCTAAAGTGGGGGTGATGGTATTAGCACCCACTTCGTGGGTGGTCGTGAGGATGGAGTGACACCTTCTGGGTGAGTGCCAGAACAGTGCCCGGCCTGGACGGAGCCCGATGCATGTCGGCTGTCGTCCCTTTCACAGGGTGCTCGAAGCAGCGTAAATCATAAAACCTCAGCCGGCTTGTTTTCTTCATAGACATTATCCAGAGCAGCAGATCGTGTTTAATGTTTCCCTGGCTTCCTTCCCTCTATTTTCAGTCTCTGGGGAGGAAGGGGGCAGGGCAGAGGGAAAAGGAAGGACAGCCATGTGTTGCAAACCCCACCTCTGTAAACGCCTCCGATTAATTCACGGCACTCAACCAATATTACTTTTTATTTTTAGCCCACATAAGCAGTTAATATATGATAAAGGTATACTACACGTCAGTGGGGAAAGACAGGACCAGTCAATAAGTGAAGCTGGAAAAACTGGCGAGTTATTTTTGGAAAACGTGAGTCTACTTTTATTGTTAACCACCCACCGAAAATTCTACAGATGGATCAGAATGGATGCCTTCCTAAATCCAAAATCGAATGGATGATTTTCAGAACGAGACCTGCCTTTCGAAGCATAAAAGTGGTAGAAAGGCATACAAATGGAACCACGTAAATTACGAGCCTGTGAAAATTGCAAAATAATGTAATCAAAGGGTAAGCGTCATGCCATATTAAAATATTTGTGACATACACGAAAGCCCATTATTGGGTTAACTTATCTTTTTATTCCATTTTGAGAGCTCTTTGTATATTAAGGAAATCAGCACTTTGCGTCTCATTGCGTCATATGTCATTATCTACTTGCTTCTGGTATACTCTGTCTTGCAGAAGCTTTTAACTCCTATGCGGTTAAATTAGTAAATCTAACAGAAATTAATTATACGCTGACTTCATTGTGTATATATCTATATAGTCACCTTTAATGTCACCTGAGATCTAAGCCTTGCCAAGAATAACGTAAACTGCGCCAAAGCACTGTTTGTTGTTAGAGTTTTAGCTGAGAGGGTGATACAGAACTTTGGATCTAGACTCTCCTCTTGCTTTAAAAAGAGAGGAAGGGGAGGCTGAACACCATTTTTGTTGGAATTTTGACATAAAGCTGCCATTCTTAAAGCCTTAAAGCCCTGTCTGTTCTCAGTCCATGCCCTCATTTCTTTGTCTGGAATACCAACCAAGCTTTCACCGAATACTTTCAGAGGCAGAAGCCAGAAAAGTTACCACAACCACGATGGCTGGCTCTGTGTCGCGCGGCAGCCACCAAACGTTCTGTGATGTTCCTCTTCCTACCTTTCAAGGTCTCCTGCCTCCCTGTAGGCTACGTACCAATATACCCAGCTCCTTCACTGGTTTCTATCCTGTTTTTCAAAGCCGGGCATTTGGAATTTCCAAATGCAGACTAGAACAGATAGGCAGGGACTCGAAGCCTCCTGATTAGGTGTCTCTAAATTTCCATGAAGCTTTTATTAGTTCTGGTAAGCAAGAAGGGAAGAGGGGGGGGGGGGGGGGAGGAAAGCCCAGCAAGTCATTTGTTAAAGTCATAAAGCTGAACTAAATGGATAAGGTCCTCTAATTGACCTCGAGGAAGCTCAGGGACACTGTAGATCAGCTGTTAAATGACTTGTGATGTCTCGATTTAGAGAAGATGTCTGGCTCCCTAGCAGATCTGTCTGCCCATAAATTTCTTGATTAGGCTAAAGGCCTCTGCTCACAGAGCCACATCTTCAACTCAGTATGTCCACTTGAACTAGTATCGTGACAGAAAGCATATTCAACGTGGGTGACACAATAGTTAAATTTAAAATTGCGCTCCTAGTTCGTTTCCAAGAGATCAATTTCTTAGTCTAGGTGGGGGACGGAGATCACCGCGCTGTAGCTGGGATGCGCCTGGAGGTTTACTAATGGCACCTGTGGGCTGGAGACAGCCTCTCCTTCTGACTTCAGGCCGCCTGCCGAAGATGCCTTGTTTTAAGTACATCAGTGCCCCTTGTGGGAAAAGACTGTTAAACATTTATTTCTGATGGTTCCGTTCGTTCAGGCTCCACAAGACAAACACCACTGAAATACCTCAAGTAAGTTCTTAGTATAAGTCACTGGCATTGAAGATAAGCAGAGAGCTGCTCACTGTACCTCAGTTGTCTGTTCAAACGAGGACAGCCGGGGGCGCCTGGGTGGCCTAGTCAGTTAGGCGTCCGACTTTCACTTAGGTCATGATCTCGCGGTTCGTGGGTTCGAGCCCCACGTTGGGCTCTGTGCTGACTGCCAGCTCAGAGCCTGGAGCCTGTTTCAGAGTCTGTGACTCCCTCTCTCTCTGACCCTCCCCTGCTCACGCTGTCTCTCTCTCTCTCTCTCCTAGAAATAAATAAAACATTAAAAAGAAAGAAAAAAAGAGGACAGCCAGTTAAAGAAGTGCATGAAATGTGAGGCTTATGTACCAACTCTTCCACTCTTCAACTATTGAAAGTGAGAATATGGACAAAATACTCCTATCAATTTTTTTAACGTAGGCTTTATGCCCAACGTGGGGCTCAAAATCATGACCCGAGATCAAGAGTTGCATGCTCTGCTGACCAAGCCAGCCAGGCACCCCAAAATACTCCCTTTTAACTTACTGTTGGGACACCTGGGTCGGTTAAACATCGAACTCGATTTCAGCTCAGGTCATGATCTCCTGGGTTCATGAGGTCGAGCTATGCTGATAGCATAGAGCCTCCTTGGGATTCTCTGTCCCTCTCTCTCTCTCTCCCCCTCCTGTCTCAAAAATAAAGAAAGAAACTTGAAAAAAATGTTTAAAAAAGTAAATTAGTGTTCACAAAAATTTTTTTTCTATTTTCCTTTCTTTTTTTGGGGGGCGGGGTTTACTCTGGCTATTCTTTCCATCAAGAAAAACAATCTTATCATAGAAGAAGTGAAAATCTTGCTTAGGAATGCTTTCAAGAAATGCAAAGAAACAAACAAAAAAACCTCAAAAGTTTTTATTTTATGGAACTTTCTTTTCCCAAGCAACTAACCTATTTTCTTCTGGGTAGGGATTTCCTGCTACCAAGTATAACCTAAAGAGCCCTCTCAACCAGGAAGAGGCAGCACAAAAAAATCAATAGCTATAACCACAGATCCTGCCCAAACAGGATTGCTCTGGGATGAAATTACTTATGTCGGTGATTCCTTAACAATGGTAGTCAAAGCCATTGACTTTGGATCACATCTCCCAAGCATCTTAAATTAATTGAACATTAAACAAATGAGACCAGGCTACTTGATTTGTACTTCTGTTTCTAAGCATGAAATAGAATATTCAGACTGTCTCTCCCATCTCCTGGTGGAACAGTTACTCCTAGGGGGAGTGCTTGGAAGTACCTGATAGCCTACAGTTTGCACATGAATTAGGTATTTTGATCTTCTTGTCATCTTATGAATTTCCTTCCTATTCTTTGCCCTCCCACCAGCTTTACAATACCCAAAATACCAGCGACAAAGGAAAGGCTTGCAGCTCTTGTAGCCAGCTCTCAGGCAATCCCCCTCTCCCCACTACCCCCTCTCCCTGTGCATAAATAGGGAAAAGCTTTCTTTATATTCCCTGGAGGTATAGAGATCGTGTGATATATATGAACCTCATTCTACAAACTCAGATATGAAAAAATAACACATATCTTAATTTTTTTTTACTGTTTATTTATTTTGAGAGAGACAGAGAATGAGCAGGGGAGGGGCAGAGAAAGAGGGAGAGAGAATCTCAAGCAGGCTTCACCCTGTCAGTGCAGAGCCCAACACGGGGCTTGAACCCACGAACTGTGAGATCATGACCTAGCCTAAGTCAAGAGTTGGATGCTTAACCGACTGACCCACCCAGGGACCCTTCCTTCCTTCCTTCCTTCCTTCCTTCCTTCCTGCCTGCCTGCCTGCCTGCCTGCCTTTCTTTCTTTAAAACTTTATTTTTTAAAAATGTTTTATCTGTTTCTGAGAGAGAGAGAGAGAGAGCGTGACCAGGGGAGGGTCAGAGAAAGAGGGAGACACAGAATCAGAAGCAGGCTCCAGGCTCTGAGCTAGCTGTCAGCACAGAGCCCGACGCGGGGCTCGAACCCATGAACTGTGAGATCATGACCTGAGCCCAAGTTGGATGCTTAACCAACTGAGCCACCCAGGCGCCCCACCCCTATCTTTATTTAAATCAAATTAAATAAGACTCTAAACCTCCCTTTGGCTGAACTGACTGAAAAATTAATCTCATTCTTGATTGGAAGGGGGAGTTTGGGAGCCACAAGGTCCACCACTGAGCCTCATCTGGTGCCCTACAAACCAGGCACTGGCGGCAAAGACTGGGCTCTCCTTCCTCAGGGGAGTCCACCATATTGCCCACATATGGTCCCCATATATTGATATATTATGTCTTCTTTTCTCTCTCTACAATGAAACATCTCCAGGCCCCCCAAATATTCTCTGTTTTCAGTATCTCTCCAATCATGTTCAGTTGGAGACATCTTATGGCGAAGGACTTGCCTGATCCCTCAAAAGCACACTCAGTCACACTGCACCTTGCAACTGATCCTCAGCTTAACCCTCTGGAGAGGAACTCGGGCTTCTCTAAACACAAAGGGGCTTCTCTAAACACAAAGGGGCTGTGTGCCGGCAACTTCCACTCTCCCCCTGCGATCGCAGCGTCATAGACAAGGCTGAGTCACTGTTTATGGTCTTTTGTTTCTTCATTCTATTTTAATGTTCATTTATTTATGTAAACATTAAGCACACCAGTTTCATCATTTGCCTCTAATCCAGCACCTGTCGCCATCGTGACTCATTCTGTGGCCGCTGGTTGTGTTGCCTCTCAAGTGTGGTGACGAGTCTCAGACGTTTGCCGATTTCTGTGGTGAGCTCCTGTTCCCTGGAACTGTACCTGTGGTATATCTGGATTTGAAGTGTGTTCCTTCAAGAGAGGTTTCATGTTTGCCTTTGCCTGCCACCTCAGCTGCTCCCAGCCTGGGGGCCTCTTAAAATTTGGGGCTTAGTATTTTGGGGGACCGCTGAAGACTATGCACTGTGGCCACAGACCACATGGGAGTGTAGGCTTGTGCTTAGGAACTTTCTTGGGAGACTTTTTTTGGGAGACTTTGGTTTTTCACTTCATCCAGAGTCAAGATTAAACAAGCAAGTGTTCTTGTTGTTCTTCTGTCTGGTGGTTTTTTTCTAATCTAAGAGTGGCACTTGTCTGAGGTCCTGGCTTCGGGTAGGTATCTCTGATCTGACCTTGCAGCCTGTGTGGTCCTCGACTCTATCCACTGCCACCAGAGCTATATAACCTCTTAAAACCCAAGGTCAAGAACACTGTGGATAGGTTATCCCTGGGAGGTGAATGGCAGCTTTGGTCTTCTCTTGCATCCTTTTGAGGCTTTACCAGTTTCCCTTTCTTTCCCTTTCCCTTAGCCAAACATTTATAAAGTTAGATAAGGGAGGTTTCTTCAAAGACCTAGGCCGCCATATTGTCCGTGTGACTTCCTACCGTAATTTCTCTTATCTTGTACCTATTATAGTCTCTCTCTCTTCCCTTAGTCCTTCTGACACTTTAATAACCACATTTCTGTATTAATTTCTCTCTTTTTGAAATACTTAACTAGAGTTTCTATTTTCTGGACTGAGCTTCTGATCCAGACAC